GCCGGGCGGGCGGCGGGGCGGGGACGGGGCGGCCCCGGGCGGTGGTTTCCACCTGCGGCGGGGGCTCCCCGCAGCCCACCCCCCGGCCCCGCCGTGCGTGGGCACCCGCTGCCTCGGTGGGAAAAGGAGGGCACGGGGGGGGCAGCGGGAGGGCACGGGGACTTGGGCACCGTCTGCTCAAAGCAGGTTGCGGTGAGGTCCCGCACGTGGGGCTTCTGGGGGGGACAGGACACTGCAACCTGCCTGGCGGCACATCTTCCCCGCCCAGAGCATACCCAGCATCATCCAGCACCACCCAGGGTACACACAAGCATCACCCAGCATCGCCCAGAGCACACCCAGCATCGCCCAGCACCACCCAGGGTGCAGAGGGCATCCCCCCCACCACCCACGCCCGGCACTGCCCACCCCCACGCCGCGGTACCCAGCACCCCCCAGGTGCCCCGCATCCCGCCCGTGCCCCGCATCCCGGCGGGTACCTGGGAGAGGATGTTCTCCTGGTTGTCCGCCTCGTCCTGCAGCGGCTCTGCGGAGGGCCCGGCCGTGCCGGCGGGGGGGTTCCCTGCCCGGCAGCCGGCGCCCAGCGCGGCCAGGGATGAGGTCTCCCCTCAGCCTCCTCTTCCTCAGACTAAACAGCCCCAACTCCCTCAGCCTCTCCTCATACGATTTGTTTTCCAGCCCCCTCACCAGCTTTGTTGCCCTCCTCTGCACTCGCTCCAGCACCTTGAGATCTCTCTTGTATTGAGGTGCCCAAAACTGGACACAATACTCCAGGTGTGGCCTCCCCAGTGCCGAGTACAGGGGCACAATCACCTCCCTACTTCTGCTGGTCACACTATTTTTGATACAAGCCAGAATGCCATTGGCTTTCTTGGCCACGTGGGCACACTGCCGGCTCATTGCCCTCCTGCGCCCCGCAAACCTGCCCATCCCAGCCCTGGGGTTTGCCAGGGGGCGGGTGGGGGGTGGAAAGCCATCCTTACAGCCTGGCCCATTGTCCATCTCCATTAACAGCCCGGCTCTTCCTCTGTCTGCTTTGGGTCATGGGGAAGCCATCCTGATGGCACCGCATGGCACAGCATGGCACAACATGCCTGCAGCTCTCCAGCAACACAGCACCCACTGGGGTCACGCAAGCAGTTCTTGTTTTGGAGACAGGCTCCTGGCCATGAGCTCAGACCTCAAAGGTCCCTTCCAACCACGAGTATTCTGTGACCTCCACGTGCTTACTGAGATTTAGGCGGACGCCGCCAGGAGACGGCCGCGCTCTGGCAGTCCCGTATCCTCCTGCTCCTCCTGCCAAACGGGAGCCTCCTGCACGCACTGTTCCCGGGAAAAGCACAGGCACGGCATCCCCTGCTGCGTAGGGGTCTGCACTGCGGTGATGATGTCTGGGCCTCCATAATTCGTGGTTGAAACCTGAGATTCCCCCGTAAATGTACCGATTGCAGTCAAACACAGGCCAGCACCGTGCCTCGGGTTTGGCACAGGCTGGCTTTTACCTCAAAGCCTGCCCATGGGTCAGAGGGAGAAGGCACGCTCACAGCACATGGCACAAGAGGCCACTCAGAGCTCTTGCTGCTGTGAGGCCATGCATCAGTGAAGCACCCCCAGTCCTTAACGCACACGTGTCCCAAAACCACCCCAAACCTGGTGCCTGCAGCCCTGGGACAGGGCACCTCTCTAGGAGGGCCTCTGGCTCTCACAACCCATTGCTCTTTCTCAGGGACAAGCTGGAGAGATGAAGCTGCCAGACACAAAGAAAACATTTTGTGTGAGAGAGGAAGCGGCCGAGGCATGGGGGGACGGCAGAGGCTGCTGACTCCAGGGCCAGGACCACAGGCTCCGTGTGGCATGGCGCTGTGCCTCCCTGTCCTCTGGCCACCCTGGGAAGCAAGGCTTGTGGAGAAGGGGGCAGGGATGCGTGGGTTCCTGCAGAACAGAGCAGGAGGGGAAGCAGCCAGGGAGGATGGGAGGACCAGGACAGACAGCCTTTGGGCAACTGGAAAGCAGCAGGAGGGGAAAGGCATTTCTAAAAGCCTCCCCCCACCATCCCCTCTCAAGGATAAAATGTCCCTCAGGCACCGGCTTTTTCACTTCCATTTCCACCACTCAGTGCTGACAACAGCTGAGCTTCCCCAGGGGCAGCTACTCCATCTGTCAGCACAGGCTGCCCTGAGGCTGAAAGATCGGGGCTTCTGGAGCCCCCAGCTCATGTCCTGTGGGGCCTCCAGGAGATCTCAGCTGGCTCAGAGCACTGGACCCCCAAGCAGATGTGTCACTATCAGGGCTAGCAGCTGAGAGCAGCCCCAAGAGGTCCCATGGCAAGCAGCACCTAAAACTTCTTAAGCCTTTTTCTAACAGTACTTTCAAAGGCTGGAAAAAAAAACCAAAAACAAATCAACCACAGTATTTCAAAATGAAAAGGAAAGATTTCACGTATTACTGACATTCTGTGTTGATTTCTTTTCTTTATAAGGAGAAGAAAGCCTTTCTGGTGGTATTTAGCTTGGGTTAAAGACAAGTTTAAGCCCGTCCTTTGGGGGCAAGAGGAGACAGCATCAGACACTTTGGGTTCACTGTGGTCATCTCTAAAGTCTGAACATTCCCCCTTCAAGAAAAAAAAAAACAAGAGAAACCCACAGACAGAAGAGGACAGCAGAGCATGTAAGTGTGGCCCTGGGTTTTCAGTCTTGCTGAAGGCGGCTGGCCCAGACCCTGGCCACAAAGACCCAGTGTCCCCACGCCTGACCCCATTCTCTGTGACTGCTCTCATGCAAAGCTGGTGCTGCCTGAGGAAGCAGGTAGACAGTGCTCCTCAAGTGCCACAAGTGAAAATGTCACCGAGCCTGGGAAGAAGGGAATCTAACAGCCCCACAACAGGCAGCACAACATCTCTCTGCCTGAAGAAAACCTGCCCCCCCCCCCCAGCTCCTCCTGGAAGGCATTCTCTTGTGCACCTTCCACCACCCCGGGCTGATCTGGACCCCCAGGAGGTCGGGGCAGTGCTTTGTAAGAGGCACTGGCAGCGGGGAGCCTGAACTTATGGGTCCCAGTCAGGCCAGGGATAGGATGGTGGGTCTGGGATCATGCAGGTCCTGATCTGGGATGCCAGGGCCGGGCAGTCACTCGTTTTGATTTCAGGGGATGCCGGGCTTGGCAGGATGGAGGGTGGCAGCCCATGCTGCGGCACATCGTGCCCTTTGGGGACAATCAGTGGCACCCTCAGCTGCGGGCAGGAGCTGCCCCCCGGGGGATGCTCAGTGCGGATCCCGGGCCGGTCCCCTCCGCGGGAGCGCAGCACCACCGCGTGGCACCGCAGCCCCACGCACCGCCCGGCAGAGACAACCCGCTGCTTGGGGCTGTCACTCGCTAACATCCTTTGCAATTAAAATGCTTCGTATTAGGGGCAGAGGAACAGCACAGAGGAACCTGAGACCCTCCCCGAGCCGTCTCCAGGCTGAACAGTCCCAGCTCCCCCAGCCTTTCCTCGCAGGAGGGATGCTACGGGATGAGGTTCAACAAGGCCAAGTGCCAGGTCCTGCACTTGGGTCACACCAACCCCCTGCAGCGCTACAGGCTGGGGGCAGAGTGGCTGGAGAGCTGCCGGGCAGAAAAGGACCTGGGGGTGTTGGTCGACTGTCGGCTGAACATGAGCCAGCAGTGTGCCCAGGTGGCCAAGAAGGCCAA